CTGCGCCGCGCACCGTCAGCGCGACCTAAGCTCAGGCCGGTCCCCCTGCGCCTCCTGGCCGCGCAGCCCGCGCCCGGCCCGGCGCAGCTTGGTCCAGGCCGACTGCCCCGGCCCCGGCCGCTGGAGCCGGCTGATGCTGGAGCGGTGCAGGCTGCACCAGCGGTCGCGCGCGCCCGTTCCGCCCCGCGCGCTCGGCCTTCACAGCCGTTGCGCCGCTCCCCGCCCCGCCGCGCCCCGCGGCTGAGCCGGGCTGCTCCGGCCCCGCCGGCCGGCCCGCTGATCCCGATCCCTATGCGCGCCCCGCCGCCGATCCCGGCCCGCCCTGCACACCTTTCTCCTGCCACCGCCCCGCCCCGCCCCGCCCCGTACAGTACAGTACTTTTTATCGCTCATTGATCGCGGTAGCGCGACTGTGCCGCTCGTCCGCGCGAACTGCTGGTGGGCGGCGGCGGCGGCGCCATCGGCGTCGAGCTGCTGCTATCGGCACGGCCGCCGAGGCTCGATCGCGAAAACCATGTTGCCAGGGCGCCCCCTTCCCTTTCGCAGAGATTCGAACGGGCGAACGGGGTGCGAGAGAGACCGCGGACGGGGACCGCGCGGACCCCGCGGCGGCCGAGCCCTGGCCGGGGCGCCAGATGGAGGGTGTTACCCCCGTTCCCAGCGGTGCCCCGGCGGTGCCCCGGCGGTGCCCCGGCTGTGCCTACCGCGGCTCGCCTAGGCGCCCTGCGTTGCGTTGCGTTATGCCGCGTTACGCGGGCCGCCCCGGGAAAAGGTTGTGGCGGTATGGAGTGACATTTGAAAGGAGGAGGCAGAAGGCAGGCGAGAAGTATTTTGGATGCCGCGGCGGGCGGGCGGGAATTCCCTGCTGCTGCTGCTTCTGCTGCTCATGGCATTCTTGGCCGCGGTGCGAAAAAGTGGTGTTTTGAATATTTCCCTTTCGGCAGCGAGAGAGAGGAGAGGAGGAGAGATGGTAGAGTGTGGCTCTCCGTCCGAGAGAGACGCGGGTGGTGTGTGTTTCTCTCAAGCCGCCGCTTCCTGCCGCCGCGGGAGGGCTGCGCCGTGCGTTTGGCCGCGGGCGCGGCAGGGACGGCGGCCGCAGCGGCCAGCGGCCGGCCCGGTAGGACGCTCTCGTTGAGGGGTGAGTTGTGGGTTCCGACCCATTGCACCACGTGACGAGGCCCGGCACGGGACGGGACCCCCTGCTGGGGTGACGCACTATACTGGCGAGGACTTCCCCGCACATGACTCGTGCGCAGGACTCCCCCCCCCCTTTCCTCGCACGTGCGCGCGTGAGTGAAATGGAATGCTGCACCCACCCCGTCCCCCGTCTTCTTCTCTTTCTCCCCGCGGTGGAATGCCGCCGCCGTGGCGTCTAGGGGGCGCGCCGCGGCATGGAGGGAAAGGGGGGGGGCATAAAAACGTATACCCGCGCTTTAAGCCCTACCGGGCGGGTCCCACCGGCCGTGTGGTGGTCCTGGGTGGGCGATGGCGACGCCCCGCCCTGCCCTGCCCTGCTGACCCCGGCGGCCCGCCCCGGCCCGACTGTACCGGACTGGGGGCTTGGTCCCGGCCCGTCCCGTGTCACTGGACTGGGATCGCCACCGCCGCCATCTCCCCACATCTCCCTCCTGAGATCACGTTTATAAATAAGATGGCGGCGGCGCGGCAAACTCCAGGCGGAGCGCGGCGTGGCGTGGCGTGTTGTCGAGGCGGCGATGATTGTTATTCGCGCCGCGATAGAAAGTGCTAAAGCGGCACGCTGTACGTGTCACGTGTCGCGCCTCGTGTGACCCGCGCTGGTGACTCCCCACACTACTCCCCCGCGACCGACCGCCACACTGCACGCCTGATCAGTGCGTTCACCATCACTATGCGGAGGAATCCGCGGAGGCCAATGAGCAGCCCCACCGGAAGCGCAAGGACGCGCCGCGGCCACATCGCCACGCCATACATCCGGCTCGGGCCTCCGCGAAAAACGCACCGCGCCGAAAGCGGGAGAAGGGGGGGGGGGCGGAATCAACATTCGCGGCGTGGACTTCGGCCCCTCCCGCAGCGGTCACCGCTGCCCTGCCGCGGACTCCTCCAGCCTGGCCGGGGTCGTATCATTCATTTCTCAGGATCGCGATCGCGTCGCTCTGCATAGCGTGCCCTCTCGCGGGCCAGGACGAGTGTCCCCGCCGATCGGGTGCACCTGCACGCCGAGGACAGTTGCGGGGGGCGCTTCCTGTCCACCAGGATATCCGCGGCGCCGTCGCCAGGCTGCGCCGCTTGACGCAGGCCACGCGGTGCGCTGCGGGAAGAGGCCCTCTCCCCCGTCGCCTGCCCCCTCCCAACCCGCTCTCCATCCTGGTATACAGAAGCTGCAGCAGCAGTGGGTGCAGCTCTCTGTTTGGTCCTGATCGCCCCCCTCCCTCCTGCGAAGGTAAACAGTCTTGTCTGCCAGCGCCAGGACTGGCGGCCCGGTGAGCGCACGGCACCGGGGGGCCCTGCGTGGCCTGCAGCAGCGCCGCGGCCGCGGGCCGGGCTGAGGTAGGGCTGAGGAGACTACAATAGGCCCTCCCCCTTTCCTCCCCGCCGCCTGCCATCGCCAGCGGCGATCACTATTTTTCCGCTATTGGTCGGAAGCGGATGGGGAAGGGATACTTTTTCGGCCGGAGGTGCGTGTTAAGCAACATTGCTGCTGCCTGCTGGCAGGTGCCCCCCCCCCCCCCCGACGTCTAACGGGCCTGCCAGGCGCTCAGGCCCCCCTCTCCCGGCACCGCTCTACATTCCTGGACCAAAGAGAGTGGCCGAAACGAAACAGACGCGGTGCAGTGCGTGGCGTGGCAGACGGGGAGTACGCGGCGCGGACCCCTTTCCTCGCCCTCCTCCCCCTCCAGCCCGCTGGTTTGGGCGTCGCGTCGTATACTCGCCCCGTGAGGGAAAGCACTGGCCGTGCCCCCTCCTGCCCCGGTACAATACCGTCTCTTCAGGACCCGCGCGGGCGCACCGGCATGACGGCGGTGTCAGGGGGGCCCCCGCGCCCCGCTTCACCCGCTGCCGCCACTGAGAAATGACGCCTTTCCTTTTTGCCTGGTGGTCGGGGCGTGCGCGGGCGGCGCGGCGCGGCGGGGCCAAAATTAACATTCTTCTGTGAAATGTGCGTTGAGTATAGTAGTGGGGCCACTGCTCTAATGAGTCAATCCCCTTCCGCTCGCCGCCACCGGGTCGCTCTAGCTCTGACGACGACGGAGACGTGACGTGGCGACCCCCCCCCCCCCCCCGCGAGAAGTGGTAAGGGAGGGGGTGCCACTACGACTGCGTCGACCGTGACCTGGAGCCGGCCACTGGCCAGGTGTGCGGAACGGAAACTCGGACACCTTGATATAGTGCGGTAGCACGGATAGCACGCGCGCTTTATGAAACATCTGTCCAAGGTTCTGATGGTGCCGTTTTTAACGTTACCATTATACTCGGCAGACCAACAACGCCACATTGTCCCCGCAATCAACAACAACCCTTCCGCGGGAAGACATGACGCAATTTTGCGGAAGAGCCCGCCCCGCAGCCCGACTGTCCGTCCGCCCGTCCGTGCCGCCCCGTCGACGGTGGTGTGACGCGACCCATGACGTGATCTGCAACTGCCGGGCAGTACTGTATCGGCTTGGCGCGAGGTTGCCCGGCCAGTGTGGCGGGGCGGCGGCGGGGCTTTTGTCGTACGTGCGCTGCCAGTGGCGCCCCCAGCAGCGTCGTCGCGCAGAGTTGGGAAAATCGGCAGAGAGCGACCGCCCGCCGCAACCGCGTGCGATCGCCTGCCGCTCGCCAGCGGAGCGCTACTCCACGCCACGCCGCTTCATTTGGCTGACTCGGAAGCCGAGTCTCGATCTCAGCATCCGAATCACACCGAAGGTGCGATTCGGGTCTGGATCAGCCAATCAGAGCCTGCCGCTGCGTGCATCCGCAGACGGTTGCAGGCGATCGCACTGCCGTCGGACGGGGGACAGGGCGACCGTCCGAAGACTCGGTCGGTTGTGAGCGGCAAGCAGCCGCACTGGCGAGCGGGCCGGGCGGGCGGGCGGCAGCTCTTTTCCCAACTCTGTCGTCGCGGCGCTCGCCAATGCCGGTGTGTGTGTGCGCTGCCCGGCGTTGGCCTTATTAGGGCAGTGGGGCCGCCAAGGAGAGGCGCGCCGCCGCCACGGCGCTGCTCGGCGGGGGCGGGGCCCGGGCGGGGCGGGCCGCCGGGGGACTTCCCCGTGGCGCGTGCCGCGCACGGGCATGCAAACGCTGAATTATTGTGCGTCTTGTTCTCTCCAGAACGCCGATATGCAGCACCGTCGTGGCGTGCCCCACGGACGGCGGAGGGGGTCGCGTCAGTGTGCACGGCCCCCGATCCCGATCTCGAGTTTCTTGGCCGGCGGTGACGTCACGCTGGCCCGGGCGGCCGGGTCCGGTCGCGGGTGAGAGGGAGGGACGAGGGACGTGAATGCATGATGCACAGTTTCCCTCTCTTCCTGCCCGCCCCGCCCCGGACCCCGCGACCCGTCGTCTTTATTAATGCGCCCACGCAGCGTCACATCGCCCCTCCGAAACTGTAGTACCGGCTCGCAGGGAGGGGGCCAATCTGTCTTGCGCAAAGGACTCGCGTAGAGGTCCTCCTCGGGGACAAGGTGCTTCTCCAGGATGCGTCCGGACGCCCGTTGCGGGGCTGAAACCCCGGAGCTGGGCCCGTGCGGCCGTGCTCCATCCGCGACACCCTGCAGCGGTAGGCCTGCAGTATTGTATGCTAATGGGTGCTGCACACTTTTCTCTCCCTTTTCTACGCCCCGGGTTTGGGCCATCCCATCCTCGACGCCGCCGCCCGCCGCCCGTGGTGCGGACCGTTGGGCCGGGCCGGGCCGGGTGGGCCGGGCGCTTTGAGCAGACCAAGCACACCCTGGCCCTGGAGAGGCGGGGGTCGGGGGCCGCAGAGCGTAGGGGGATGAGGATGAGGGGGCAAAGTGTGGCTAAAATTAAGTCCACGTGTACCAAGCCAGAGACGGGTGCCCGTGCACGTGCCTCAGCGCAGCGAACACGGTAGATCTGTAGTTAGAGCCCAAGCCGGGGTAATGACAGGCTTCCATAATAAATCGTTAACTCTTTGTTGTTGTTTTTTCTGTTTTTCTTTAGCCATGTACCAAAGGCAAAGGCGACGACGATGGCGGACACACCCGAGTTAAAACGCATCCAAGAGAACACAAAATTGCAATCCAATGTGAGTACGATTGTTACTGTGGTAATGGTTGCTCTTCCCCCAAACATGAAACCACATTTTAAGGAGCTGACTGATGAGCCCTGCATTTTTTTCCCTCAGGTAAAATATCATGCCGAATTTGAGAAGGCCAAGGGGAAATTCACGCAGGTTGCAGATGATCCCGAAACCTTAAGAATTAAGCAAAACTCCAAGATTATCAGGTAATTTTTTGGTGTTTAATTTTTTGACTACATATCAAAGTAAGTGTTGTCTAAACGTCTTTTTGTTTTTAACAGTAATGTTGCATATCATGGGGATTTGGAAAAGAAAGCTGTAATGGAGCAGAAGAGAGTTTTAACTGGGGAAAACGGTGAAGCTCAAAATGGTAAGAAGGAATCCCTTTGTGTTTTTATTTGTCACATTTTCTAAGTGTATGTATGTCAATCAAAAATGTCAACTGTGACTGTCAAAGATCTACATTGAATGTTATCTTTTCTTGCCGGCTAGTGGATGGAAGGCTGCTGCCCGGTATATTTGTCGGTGGTTAGGTGGGTCGGTGTGTGTCTTCAACTCTAAAAGCTTTGTTTTCAGTTTTCAGTGTTATTTTTACAGCTTAACTGCTCACTGGAATTTAGATTTGCCAATGTGATGCATGTGTTAATTCTGGCTTTGCTTCATTTTCTCTTACCTCATGGTTAATTAGACTTTCAAAAAGAAAATTAAGATTTGGTTTTAGTTTCCTTTTTAAAATGATACATATCATGGATTTCTTTCCAGAGTTACTTTTGATTAATTCTGCCTTGGTTTTGCAAAGTTCATCTCTGTATTATTTTATTTTTTACAATTTTTTACTTTATTTTTTAGATGTTAGATTGTGTGTTTCCTTGGTTTATGCATATGTTTTTTTGTGACCTTGTTTTACTTTTCCAGTGTTGGTTTGTGATTACATAGATAGTATTTGTGCTGAAGCTTTCCAGCTAAGCCTGCAGTTCAAGTGATAAGCTGATGACGCTTTTTAATGTTGGCTTTTTGTTTTGTTTCGCCATGGACAGATGATGCTGGTGGCTCTGTCGCTGAATATTCTAATCATGCCAATCAACGTGAAGAACCTGCTCCCATCCCACACACACAGTACTCACAACCTCCTCCACAACAGCAACAACAGCAACCACCACAACAACAGCAACCACCACAACAACAGCAACATCAGCAACATCAGCAACAGCCTGCCTACCATGCTCCACCATCACAGCCACCACACCATGTGACACAAATGAGCAGTGGCTATGGCCATGTTCCTCCACCACATCAGCCAGGAAAAATAGCTGATTATGACCCATTAAGTGGTGCACCACGCAATTCTCCCTATTCAGCAAGACAAGCCTCAACTCTCATTTATTCGTCAGGCCGGGGTGCAGGTACTTAGATAAAGTCTTGATTTATGGAAGTTGGAAATCTTTTCATGCTTCTCATTTTCTTTGTTCTTCGAAGTCTCTGAAATGCATTTGCTAAGAATATTTTCCCTCTAGATGTTAATTTTATTTTTTACAGTGACAAGCCAGCCTAGCCGACGTATTGGTTCAGTTGCTGATCTTGATCCTGTAAATGACTTTTATGGGTCAGTTGCAACAGACTACAGATCTAGCAACAATAATGCAAACCATAATAATAATCACGCTGCATCAAGTGGTTATCCGCAAACTCGACATCAAGCACCTGTTCAACAGCAGTATTATCAGGCTCCACCTCAGCAATACCAGCCTCCACCGAGTCGCTCTGGAGTAAGCGTTGTATGCAGTGCTTTGAATAATTTAATTTTCCTTTGTTAAATTTTATGATTTGTTTCTCCTCCCTTTTCCAGAGAGTGTATCGTGCTATGTATGATTATGAAGCTCAAGATCGAGATGAAGTCTCATTTCGTGATGGCGATATGATTGTGAATTGCACACCTATTGATGAAGGTTGGATGACAGGAGTAGTTCAGCGCACTGGTCAGAGTGGTATGCTACCTGCCAACTATGTGGAATTGGCTCACCTCTAGTTAATCCATGTTCAGTATTCATCATATAAAATTGAAGTAGCATTGTCATTCATTGCAATTGAGTAATTGTAGTTTATCACTTTGTACTTGTCAAGAAGTGTCAAAATCTGTTTTTTCAAATTGCAAAGAGAGAAGTAGTTTTTCTTTCTTTTTTTTCACTTTTATCTCCTGACGTGTCACTTTTAATGTCTCAAAGTTTTAGCTGACAACATTCCTTGTCTTCTTAAATTGGAATATCAATTACAGGGTCTTTAAACCGTTTTGGGGAATACATAACAAGGACTCTAGTAGGTCTTTTTTTTTTTTTAAGTAAAGAAAACAATGTATGTTACCATATTTTGAATGGGGAGCGGACGGGAGGGTTCTTATGCTTATTATCAGTTTTTATTTTTTGAATCATCACTTGAAAGACATTGACTATAGATTCAAAATGATTTATTTAGTCTCATTGAATGAAGCTACTTCAACAATTCAGAGTAATTAATTTTTAATTTATTGTTGAAGCATTATGATATTTTTATGGAGAACAGTTTTTTTAGGCAATTGTTTTTTTTTTGTGATTTGGGCCAGTGGTTGTCATGTTTGACTGGCTGACTTTTATCATATCTTTGACTTTTATCCCGAATAAGATTGGTCGTATTGACCCTCTGTTTCCTTTTAATGTGATTCTGAATTTTTAAACAAAGTTTTGAATAGATTATAACTTCAAGGCATCTAATATGAATGTAGTGTGGTCATGATGTTAATCACTGTTTTGCAAGGCTCATGAAGCAGTTGCTTCTGCCTTGTTAAAGTACCAGCCTGAGTATGTAATTGTTGGGTGTATGCAGAAGAAATTTGGCAATGCAGCAAACAGTATTTATGATAAGAGACCTACTGAAATGTTGATTTTACAAAGTTGAATATCAGTCCTTTTAATGTCTTTCAACTATATTTGAGTATTCATGTGTTTCTATGTGTTACTATACGGCAGCTTTGTTTCATTTCTGTTCAATTTGGTTAAGCTACACCATTTTTCAAAACTGGCGATGTTTGAGCCAATTGTGCATGTATTAAAATTAAACACCAGATAAGGATCAAAACAATGAATTCTCATTCACTATGTGTGTTTATGATATTTTTTTTGGCCAGCTGAAATAAGTGGATTGATAAAATTATTCATTCATAAATGTAATCCAACTGTCAAATCTATTAATGTTGTTCACTGTTAGAGTGCTATAAGTGCTCTTCTACCGTATGAGGTTGGGACTGAGCATTTATGACACTCTATGAGTGCTGAGAGTTTTATGTTTTGTTGGATAGGCCAGAGTTCTTGTAGACTTGGAGAATCAATTTTAACTCTTGTGTCCTGCACTTGATTTCCACCTGTTTTCCTGTATGGTTAATTTGGCTAGTTTGCCATGTGTACCTTGTTAGTTACATGGAATTAGTATGTTTCAAAGAGCTCATGTCTTGTCACATGGTCTTTAGAATTTGTTTGGAGATTTTGTCTTTCAGACTTCAACAATTGTCTTATGAAATTCATGCTTATTAAAACTGACACAACTTCTTTATTTGACTCTAATTTCATGTTAGTCAATAGATTTAAGGAATAATGGGAATGAAAATTGATTAAAATTTTAAGTTTTGATTTTCTTTTAGTTCAATTGTACCTCTGTGGTCTGTATTAACAGGGTGTTTCGTGTTTCAGAAGTCTTGCCATTTGAAAGATCTGTTGTCTATCAAGTACAATAAATGTTGTTATTTTTGTTCTATATAGACCAGAAGTTACTACAAACATATGTTGTTAGTTATATGTTGTTAAAGCATGGAATGGAATTTCCCATGTTTTGTTATTCTGTATCCAGATTATTGAAGTTAAATCTTCTTGTATAGGAAGAAAAAGGGTTTAAAGCTGGCTCTTTTAGATTAAAACACTTTTTCTTATACGTCTGTTGTAAATAATGACTTGCGTCATGCGTTGTCTGCCAAACAATTTATTTAATTGTAATTTCTTCTGAATTGTTGGAAATATTCATTCATTAACAATATCTATGGATATTTTTCCCTGCTCAGTTGTTTCATGTAAAACTAATAAAAATAAATGTTAAATTAATATATTTCATTATGTTTACCAGTAATCAACATTTTATGCCATTTATATATTACAACAGATAAAAGAAAACAATCACAACTTTTTCTCTTTCTTTCTTTTTTTACTTGATCTTCTGAAACATTCCTCACCTTCATTCTCTTGAGGTAGCTTTTGTTTCTCGGTTTTGTTTTCTAAATTACCAGTGTTACAATTGGTTTCTTCAGGCATGTCTCCTTGCCTTTTATCTTTCTTCTTCCTCTTTGAAGAAATTTCAATTTCATGCTCTTGATTTTCTTCAACAATCAGTTCTCCCTTTTTCTTTTTCTTCATCTTTCCTTTTCCTTTCTCTATTTCAACATGTTCAGTCAAAGAACTATTTTTAGCTTTTTTGGACCCACCTTGATCTTTTTGATAGGCTTTCATAAAAGCTTCCTCTTGCTCCTTGACTCTTTGAAGTTTCCCACTTAACTTGTGCCCATGTCTAGCAGCCCTAAAAACAAAAATTGTATGTTTTTAAATTGAAAAACAGTGTCAGAACAATATGATTGACATAAAGTGACCCCTCAAGTTTTGAGAAACTCACTTGTGAGCAGTCAGTCCTCCACAAGCCTGAAATAATTGTTCATCATTAAGTGTGGCTGGTAACTTGGGAAGTCTGCTTTCTGCCTCCTCAATAGGGTCAGATTTTTCCTCAGGTGGTACAACCGAACCACCCTCAGTCAGCGTCTCCCTCTGCAAAAGTTAAAATGATTAGTGGAATAGCTACTTGAAACACTAAAAAGGAATCGAAGGTTTGGATAGTGTGCCTTACCTTAACAAAAGCACCATACTGCATTTTATCCCGTTTAATTTTTGCCCTTTTAACTGCCGAAATTTCTGGGGAGTCCTCAATTACTGTTTTTACTTCTACACCCTCCTAAAAATCAGAATCTTTTAACCATCACTTAATATATTCACATAAATTACAGTAAATTTTACTATGCTAGAGTTTTGTACCTGTGTCTTTTTAATATTGATATTGCTAGCAGCATTGTTAAATGCATCCTCCCACCAACGATAGGTGAACTCCTGGGCAGGATCATGGCCAATACCTGCAGTATTTAATTTCACCTTGGGCTTCAAAGCTGTTGTGATGCCAGTCGAATTTTTTCCCAAGCCTTGACCTGGAATATTTTTTTTTAAAAAAAGAAGAAATATGATTAGCGGTGTGAGATGAGGTACAACTACAATGACTTCTGTCAAATCAGGTAACCTACGGAACAAATAAACAAGAAATCTTTCAACCTAACAACATCATAAGTAAAACATCTAAAACAAAGTTTCGGAATTTCTAATAAGCTACTTAAAAAGAGTAGATACTTCCGAGAAGGAGGAGAATATGTGAATAACCACATTTATTACTAGGGTTAGGCCTGAAATGATTCAAGCAAAATTAGGCGAAATAAAACTCCAAGTTTTACAACAATTACCTTCAGACCAGCCATATTTTTCAAGCTGGCGCTTTGCAAAATCCATTGCCTGAATTCGAAATTATTTGGGCTTGCTTCTGATTTCCTGATTTCACATGTATACATGTACACACACCAAACTACAAATGAATGTGGCGAATAGTCGTTCCGCAGAAAGGAGTGGGGGTGTCGTCTGCACGCTGCTGCTAATAAGCAGCTGGTGACGTAGCCGGTTCATGACGTCAAACCTGTTGACTTGAAGTAACTCAGAACCGTTCGTGGTTCCTGTTGCTGAGTACATTTTGTCCTGAGCAGACGTGGTATTAGTCTATTCCAAAAAAACAATGATTTCCCTGAAATACCGTGGTGTTTCCTGCTTTGTGCAAGCTGCATCGAATACCCTTTGCAAGAGTTCATTACAAAATGTCTACAGAGGTATGTTCCTGATATTTAAACTTCCTAGGTAGTAATCAAATAGAAAATGTGCTGATGATGATGATTATGTCGTTTTTTGTTTTGTTTTGGTTTTTTAAACAGACTTTCATCGGAATTTTAGCAAAGTTGGTTTCATTGGTTGTGGTAATATGGGGAATCCAATGGTGCAGAATCTTATGAAGAAGGTGAGAATTTAGGGAGGCGAGTTATGTTTTTTGTGATAAGTAAGCAGGTAGTGTCTGTTAGGTTTTCAATTTTAACGCATCTTACCTTAGAAAATATATTAACGTGGAACATGAATACATTACCATCCTTTTATTTCAGGGACATAAGGTGAGTGTTTTTGATGTAAAAAAAGAAGCTGTCTCTGATCTCCAAAAGGCAGGTGCAACTGGTTGCAGTTCTGTTACTGAGGTAGTTGAGGGTGCTGATGTAGTTCTCACTATGCTCCCTGCAAATCAACATGTCCTTGACACATACACCAAAAAGGGTGGTATTCTTGAGTAAGTAATTTATCCTGTGTTTTTGGATTTTCTGGCACACTGAAATTGGAAAAAAAAAGGGGGGGGGGGGGGTACATAAAAAAATATATTGCTGAAGTTTTTGTCTTTTAATTGTTTAGAGCACTCTGGGGGCCAGCAAC